AGGCCAGAATTGGTGCTTGCAGTAACTCCTGCTTGAGTCGCTGAAACGCAGTCTCACAGGCTGAGTCCCACTGGACTGAGGGAGATCCCCGGCCCCGGGACCATCCAGTGCCCCCTAACAGCTGGTTGATAGGCTTGGCGATGTGGGAGAAGCCTTTGATGAACCGCCTGTAGTACCCGACAAAGCCCAGGAATGATCTGACCTGGCGTACGGTCTTAGGCGCGGCCCACTCCTGGACAGCCGACACCTTCTCTGGGTCCACCGAAATCCCTGCAGCGCTCACTATATGACCCAGGAATTTCACCTCCTTCCGGAAGAGCTGGCACTTATCTGGCTGGAGCTTCAGCCCGTACTTCTCCAGAGAGCGAAAGACCTGTTCCAGGTGCCGAAGGTGGGACTCGAAATCTGGGGAGTAGACAATCACGTCGTCCAGGTATACTAAGGTGGACTCCATCAGCTGGCCGCCCAAGCAACGCTGCATCAACCGTTGGAAGGTGGCTGGGGCGTTGCACAGGCCGAACGGCATCCGGTCCCACTCATAGAGCCCAAAGGGGGTAGTGAACGCGGTCTTCTCCCTGTCCCGCACATCCACCTCCACCTGCCAATACCCACTGGCCAGATCAAGAGTGGAATACCAGGCCGCTTGTGTCAAGCTCGTGAGGGAGTCCTCTACTCGGGGTAACGGGAAAGCATCTCTTTTCGTCACCAGATTTAATTTCCGGTAGTCCACACAGAACCTCCATGAGCCGGTCTTTTTCCGTACCAGGACAATGGGCGCAGCCCAGGGACTACTGCTCTCACGGATGATCCCCTTGTCCAACATTCCCCGAAGGAGGGTGCGGACCTCAGAGGATAGGGTCGGGGGTACAGGCCGGTAGCGTTCTCTACTGGGTGCAGCATCTCCAGTTGGGATCTGGTGTTGGACTGCGTTGGTTCGACCGTAGTCCTCGTCGTGAGTGGAAAACAAGTGCTGCCATTGCAACAAGAAGCCTCGAAGCTGGTTTGTCTGACCTCCTGTCAGACCTTCTCCCCACAGTGACTCTCCTTTGAGATAAGCTGGGACTCCCTCCCCAGTTCCTTCCACATGCTGATCTGTCTGTGCCAGGGCCACTTCTACTACTGTCGGACTCACCCGGTTGAATCTGATTTCTCCTGGTTCTCGAACTTGCTGTGCCTTCACCGAGGTAACTCGGGCTAAACGCTGATGGCGATATAAGTGGACAGGGAAGGAGTTCGTGTTTCTGACCTTTACACAGACCCGGCCTCTCCGTGCAGATGCCAATCCTCGAGCAACTTCTACCTTGGAACAATCTGGATGGGGTTCCCCAAGACCCACTCCTCTGGGCGATAAAGTCGGGAAGGCAGCCTGGCCCAGACTACGGCCTCACTCCGAGCTGGAATTTCCAGAGCATACCGACAAGCTACTCTCCCGGTGCCCTCGCGGTTCCCCTGTGACTTAGCCAGGCATACTCGACGACAATCAGCTCTCACACGACTCCATTCTCGGCCCTCCGACGTCGATGCTGCTCGACTGGGTCCATTCCGGAATATTTCCTCCCAACACTCCGAGACGACATTCATGCCCAGCAGTGCGCGGTGGGACCCCAGGCACGCATCCCGTACGATCACCACTCCTTTCTGAGGCACAACAATCCCATGTATCTCCAGGTCGGTTACTAGATATCCCACGTACGGGATGTCGAAGCCGTTGGCTCCCCGCAAGGTGAGCCATGGGGCTTCTGTCATGGGCCGGCCCTGGGCACCAAACAACTCCAGAGACAAACTTTCTGAAAAGAGAGTGACTTGTGACCCGGTGTCCAGGAGGCATTGTACTTTCTGGCCATTTACCTGGACCATCACCACGGGGCAACGCCCCACCAAACTCTCCTGCGAAGTCCCAGACGAACATGGGTCCGATGAGGAGGTCCCGACCACTTGACCCACAGTGGCCGGTGACACTAAAAACCCCCTTGTGAGGCACGGCGAGAGTGGCACTGGCGAAGGTAGTGTCCTGGCTCTCCGCAACCATTGCAGATGGGACGCCCTTGCTCATCCCACTGGAATCGAGTCCCGGCTGTTCGAAATGGACGGTGTGCTGGAGGTCGATTCCCCTCTGAATGGGCTCGCTCCCTCGGCAAAGACAAGGAATGGAGGTGTTCTCGGCGAAGTTCTTCCATAAAGGATTTGGTCAATGAGGACATTTGATCACGAACATCCCTCTTCAGTTCTTCACGGAAGGCCTGCTTCCAATCAGACATGACGGGGGACGGAGGTCTACTAGCAGCATTCGTGGCCATGCAGTGGGGAGGAGCTACACTCTCGGCATGATCTTGCTCAAGTGCTAAGGCTTCCCTCCGTAGATCTTCAAAAGTGAGGTCTGGCTCTCGTCGGAACTGTATCCGTAAACTTTGGCGCACGGGACCTTCCAGCAATCCCAGTAGGAACTGATCCCTCGGTAGAACTTCCTCACCTCCCAGGCCATGATCCTGTCTCTTCTTCAACCGGGAGAACTGCTCCCTTAGCTGCAGTGCAAATGCCCGGATAGTTTGTCGCGGTCCCTGCTTACAATTGAAGAACTGTGTTCGCAGCACAGCAACCGGGGTAGTGTCTCCATATTGCTCCGTAAGGAAATCAAAGATGGCCCGAACCGTGGTTCTCGTTGCTTCCGGTGCTGCTTGCACTTCTCTTCCCGCTTCTCCCTCTAGTGAATTTAAAACAAACTGCACTCCTTGGGGGGCACTCAAACCTTGGAGTCCTACCAGGTACTCAACCTGGGTCTTCCATGCCGCCAAACTCACTTCCGATCCTGGGCCTCCATACTTCTGGGCCCATGGGGCTCCCACAAAGATCGGCATGACCGGCTGCCGCACCACAGGTGCCTCTTCGTCCGCCATCTTGATCTCTGGCCGCTCAACTCGAGGTGGTACCCTGCCGACTTACGCCAAATCTGTCACAGGTCGGGGAGCCAAGCCAGACTGCGCCCACCCCTCAAAACCCAGGACCACCTCGAGGAGCGTACCAGAGACCAGACAGACAAGGAGATTTTCTAAAAGTAACAATCTTTATTTAAATAAAAGCAGGAATTAAAAGTCTTAATATGGGCTTCGTCTCTCTTTCCAGGGAGGAGGAGACCGGGGGGTGCGCTGCGAGGGCCCGGACTACTGGCAGCCACAGAGGAGGAGGGAGCCGAACGCCCGTCTGGCGTGCAGGTAAGTAACGTGGTAAGAAGGCCCTTTTCGGCGAATTACAGGCGGACAACGGTCTGGGCAGACCAGGGCCGGGACCACGGGCCAGGCGAGGACTCTCTCCACAGGACAGGTGGGTAGCAGGTAAGTTTTCTCAAGCGTCAGCTATTCGACAGGTGCGAGGTCCTCCGGGTGCCTTTCCGCCCTTGACGACCCCAGCCAGAGACAAGGGTACCCTGTATGATCCAGGACAGAGACAAGTGTGCAGGTTTAATTCTATTTCGGTGAAGGGTGGACTTACGGCTGGAGCGGGTGGTTCGGGACGAGCAGCGCTGCTGCTGGGGTGTGTCTCTCCTCTGAACAGGCAGCACACAAGAAGGCCGAGGCAGAAGAATCTTCTGTCTAGATAGGCAAAGCCTTTGATACAAGAACGAACAGGATCCTTTCATATAGAGGGGAATCAGGCTTACGGCTGGTCTGGTTGGCTCCCACGGTAACACGAAGGCTGGGGCGTGTCTTTCCTCCGAACAGGCAGCACACAAGCAGGCGGTGGCGGAGAAACGTTCTATTTAAATAGACAGAACAAGTTGAACAAGGCAATCACCCTCCTCTACCATATCACAGGACCCAATGTTCAATCCCTCCACTGTTGCGCTGATTCGCCACTCAGAAGCTGGTGAGATGCAGAGGATTTCGCACCGCATGGAACACAGCGTCTTCAACACTCTTTCATACTCAGAAGAAGATATCAGGGGTTCAAAGATGAATCAGTTCACACTCTTAGTGGTAATTATATTTGTGGTCAATACACTTCACAATTCCTTATTCAATTCAGTGCAAGACATGCATTCACACGGATCCGGTGTTTCATTACTTATCTTTCTCCCTCGAGTGATGACATTCTCCAATCTTGACTCAATCTCCACAATTCGCTCACTTCACATCCAATTCACGTTCCAGCTTGCACTCCTTCAATCACCGTTGCACCCCTTTCCAGTCAGATCCTCACAGCCGCTCCAAAGATCCCAGCAAACCCCAGCCACAGCCAAAGGAATCGATCTCTCCCGAGGGAGTACCACGCTCGAATGCCTTTTCCTTTTCCTTTTAACTGCTTCTCTGGGCCGTGTTTCCCAATCACAGATCCCCACACCAAACACCCGCACCTGGTACCGCTTAGCTAATCAGCTGCCGCTGTCATGGCAACTGACAACAGCAAACCAGCACGGTGTGCCGGTGAAATCGTCCCGGGGGGAAACACACTCCTAGCGGAAATTAGTTCCGCTAGATTTGTCACCTTGTGACACTCCCCCAACAGACATTCTACTGACTATAAGTAACTTGGCAACTACAAGTCAACTTATTCTCCTAACCCGAACCCTAAAATCTAACCCTAACCTAACAGTCTACTGACAGTCTACTACACTCTACTAATACTCTAATGAGAGTTAGTTGACATGTAGTTGCAAAGTCACTTATAGTAGAATGTCTAAAGTGGACTATCAAAATAAAGTGGAACCCATATATCTGCTTAAATTACATTTTTTTCATTTTATAGGAGCGTATAAATGACTTCAAAGTCAGCAGAAATTGATTAAATGCCACAAAACTCTCATTTGGATTTTATGGAATCAAGGTCAGGAGCTCTGTGGTTCTCAGCATTTGTTGTTTGTGTTTTATTTCTGCCATATTAATCATGCATGACTGTAAGCACTTTTATAAAAGAAAAATCTTTTTCTCTTTGTGTATCTGTGCATGTGGATGTGTGTTTTTGTGTTTTAGAGATGGGGTGGCATGACTGAGATTGTGAGGACTCACCTAGTTGGACGTCTACAGTAGTCGCCTGTCTCTCTGATGGGAACAAGACTTTTGGTGGTCTGGTTGTAAGAAGTGCTGCAAAACAATAAACACACATTAGCAATCAGGCACTGAATGAAATATTTATCTCAATAACTCAAAACTACATCCTCTTTGCTGTCTAGGCCATCTAAAAGTAATTTATACATTTGGCAAACGCTTTCTCCAAAGCAATTTAGGGCCCTATTGAAGAGCAGCAAGTCTTGAGCGCTGTGCAATTCAGTACGTTTTACATGTAAAGTCAGTGGACAGGGTAAAGTTTTTGTCATTTTTGTGCAGTACACACTCAGGCATAACTGACTGTCATCACATTAACCTCTCATGCACGTTTCGTTGAATGCTCCCACAAAAAGTGAATAAGACAGCGTATGGTTGTAGTCTCTAGCTCTGCACTAACAAAAGTACAAAATAGAGCCCTTATTGTGGATTCAAAGTACTGTACAATGAAACGGAAGTAAGACAAAAATCTGTTCTTCCACATTGTGAAGTACATCCGAGTGTAATGGATTTTCGAAAAAGAAAAATATAGGGCGGTTGTGGATCAGTTGTTGATTGGATGTTGAGATGTGGGCATTGCAGATGAACTTGCAGGAGTCAGGTTTTTGTCCTTAAAACGCTCTTGTGTGTAGGACTAATTTCTTACCCATCTCATCCCACGCCTCTGTTGCTAATTCCAAAACGCCATTTAAGAGCTAGTAACGGAGGCTTGAGCCATTGATAGCAGACTAAGGGTGTGTTTACATGACAACGATGTACTAAAATCGGAAAAAAATTTCCTTTGTTTTTGCATAAAGATGATAACCTTGTCAAAACAATCCCCATTCACACTGATCAGCAAAAACGATTAAAAACACTGTAGTATTCATGCCAGGCCAGTAGTTGGCGATGTCACTTTGTAAAGAAACACTATGTGCCTCTAGACAGAGCACATAATAAGCATGCGCATGCCATCACCATTTTCACAAATTCACATTTTCTCTTTTTTTTGGTAGTTTACACAGAGACAATAACGGTATCATTTTCAAAATCTTGCACTTTAAAAAACACATTTTCAGGCCTCCAAAACGCTGTTGTCAAGAAAATGAACGGCTACACAATTAGAAAGCAAGATCCAATTATTACAAAACTTGCAAAAACAAAGTTTTTCTGATCAACAAGCTACACGATTGTCCTCCTTAAAAGTAGAATATGATTTACTTTCACAATCAAAGGCAGAGTTTATATTACATAGAACTAGACAAAAATATTATTTTGAATCGGAGATACCTAGCCACTAACTGGCCATCAGGTTGAGGGAATGTGAGTCTAAGGCATTTATCAGTACAATAAAATCTTCAGATGATCAGGTCACCACGAATCATGTGAAAATTAGTAACATATTTCAGGATTTTTACACAAATTTATACAAAGCTGAAACCGATTTGGATGAGTCAATCTGCAAAGAGTATCTAGGTAAATTAGAACTGCCTCGGATCTCACAGATGGATAAAGACTCTTTGGAGGCCCCGTTAAATTTGGAGGAGCTCCACGAATCACTAACAAGTCTTCAAAAGGGCAAGTCACCAGGCCTTGATGGCATCCCTCCTGAATTGTATTTAGAAATATGGGATTTGGTAGGGACTCTCATGCTTGATTCATTTACTCTTGCAATTGAGCACGGGGCATTTCATAGAGATCAAAAAACATCTTTGATATCATTGCTTCTTAAAAAGGGGAAAGATCCGCTAGATTGCTCCAACTATAGACCAATATCACTCATCTCATGCGATTTAAAAGTTTATGCTAAAGTTATTGCCTCCCGTATGGAGAAAGTAATCCATAGCTTAATTAAGGAGGATCAAAACGGTTTTATTAAGGGACGTCACGCATCCGATAATATGCGTCGACTTTTTCATGTTTTGGATTTTGCAGACGCCCATCCGAGCCCTTGTGCGTTTTTTTTCACTCGACGCTGAAAAAGCCTTTGACAGGCTAGAGTGGAACTATATGTGGGTAGTTCTGCAATGTTTTGGTTTTGGTGAACATTACATCTCTATGATTAAGACACTTTACCACTCACCTGAGGCATCAGTCTTAACTGGTAATATTATTTATATTACTAATATAATACTTTCACCCTTATTGTTTTTTTTTATCCCTTGAACCACTAGCACAAGCCATTAGGAAATCTGAAGTAACACCGATTAAGATTCACGACCATAATCATATTATTTCGTTGGATGCGGATGACATAATTTTATATTTAGATCACTTTGATATGTCGTTAACCAGTATAATTAAGGAATTCGACCGCTTTAGTAGTTTATCGGGATACAAGATAAAATGGACCAAATCTGCTTTAATGCCAATTAACAATGTTAAGGTTAATTGTCCTATCCCCTCATTCAATCCTATTAAAGATTCTTTCATCTATTTGGGTATTACCATATATAAAAATATCCATAAGATTGCCAGGGACAACTTTAATAACGTTTTAGGCAAGATCAAGAGTGATACTCAAAGATGGAATAATCTTAATGTCTCTCTTCAAGGCCGAATCTCCGCAGTGAAAATGAATTTGTTACCTCGGCTTAATTTTCTTTTTTCTATGCTGCCGCTTCCCCCCCCCCCCCCCCCCCTCCAGGTTACTTTAAGGAGATTAATTCCATACTTTCCCAGTTTATCTGGACTGGTAAACGACCCAGAATAAAACTAGACACATTACAGCATCCTATACTTTCAGGAGGATTGGCTGTGCCAAATTTTGAGTTATATTATTGGTCATTCCAACTTAAGGCTCTTCATATTTGGGTTGATTCTCAATCCAAAGTTCCATGGAGAGAAATTGAAGCTGACAAGGTTAAACCACATAGGCTCCAAGATATTGTATTTGCTGGTACAGGAAATAAAAATAAGCATAAATTCGGCCCAGTTGTGGTCAATTCTATTAGGATCTGGAAAAGGGTTGAACGTCTGATGGGAGGACCATTCAAATTTTGTAGCAACACACCTTTATGGCACAACTTTAATCTTTATGTGGAAATCAGCCATTTGTCCAGCCTTCTTGGTCTTCACTGGGTATAAACACATGCGGCGACTTATTTGATAACCAGGGACTTTGCGCACTTCAAGAACTAAGAACTAAGTTTTGTTTACCAGCATCCTCATATTTTGTCTTTTTTCAGCTATGCTCGGCTCTCAAGGCATATGGGGTTCCCTGGGCATCCCCCATTTCCTCCCATCCTATGTGGGATTGGATCGCACCATCCTCTGGTCGGCCTTCTGTTTCTTTAATATATAGTAAAGTCAATGATCACATTGCAAAGCCTCTTTCTATTAAATCTATCTGGAATCGTGAATTATCTGATTTTAATTTATCTGTCGACTGGGAGAGGGTGTGGTCTAATCTAATCTTAACTTCTAAAAACTTGGCTCATCGTCTTATCCATTTCAAAGTCATCCATAGAGCATACATAACCCCTTACAAGAGGTTCAAAATGAAACTGCAATCAACTTTTAACTGCCATATCTGTAACACTGTATCGTCAGGTACTTTTCTTCATATGTTTTGGGAGTGTCCAATTGTTGCCAACATATGGGATAATGTAAACTTGGTTCTATCCTCCTTACTACTTTTAACTGCCATATCTGTAACACTGTATCGTCAGGTACTTTTCTTCATATGTTTTGGGAGTGTCCAATTGTTGCCAACATATGGGATAATGTAAACTTGGTTCTATCCTCCTTACTACAAACTGATTACATGTCTAATCCATGTTTATGTCTTCTCAATGACGATTCTGACTCCTGTATAAGTTCATTGCAAAAAAGAATGTTGTTTGCTGGGTTTACAGCTGCGAAGAAGACAATAATACAGAACTGGTTTACTCCGCACATGTGTGCAAAAACATATTGGATTCATAGCCTCCACAAAATAGTGACTTGTGAATGTACAACAGCACGAATTAACAAGGCTCAACCTAGAACCATTGATGCATGGCAATGTTTTTCTTCCAAAATATTGGATTATATAAAGGAATGACTATATAAAGATCTCTTTTTTTATTATTATTATTATTTTCTCTGTCATTTTGTTAATTTTTTGATAATATGTCTGTTGCTCCCCCGTCCCTGTCTTTTTGTCTGAGTGGATGTTTGTTTTACTTTTATTTCTAAAAGACAATAAAGAGTTGATCACAAAAAAAGAAAGAAAATGAACGGCCAGAACACATAAAAAGTTTTCTGTTTTTATTTAAAAATGTTTTTTTTTTTTTAAATTCTCCTCATGCAGTTATTAGAGAGAGAGAGAGAGAGAGAGAGAGAGAGAGAGAGAGAGAGAGAGAGAGAGAGAGAGAGAGAGAGAGAGAGAGAGAGAGAGAGAGAGAGAGAGAGAGAGAGAGAGAGAGAAAGATTAAGCATAGCGAAACTGTAAGTTTATCTGCTCCAAGAACAGCACAGTTATTACCTCGCTAGTGAGAAATGCCAAGTAGCTTTTAAGTTGTTAAACTATTTTACTGCTAAAATTGTCAGAGCAGCGCTGACAACATATTTCTGTGTGAGTGTGTGTCCGTGTGTGCGTTTGAGTGGGAGAGAGCGCGGAAAAAATAGAGTATTCCGTTTATAATAAAAAGTAATTTTGTGGCAAAAAAACATTTGCTTTATTTGTTTTGCTTGGTCTGTGTCATTATGGGTTTTGGTTCTTTTGCTGTTGTAGGCTGTAAGAACCTTTTAAATCATTTGGCGAAGTGATATGGACATGTAATGCAGTCAAGACCTGCCTGAAATTACTTGAGCTCTGAAAATAACTGCACACCTTAGAATGTTCGTCAACCGATCAGATTCAAGCATTCAAAAGCCCCATACACATACTCACATAAAGTGATATACTGTACTAATAGCAAATCTCAGTCTGGTTGATTATTTACATCAACAAAATGTAAACTATACTATTGCCCATGAAGTCCTACAATGCTCAATGTGGACTAGAATGCAATAAGGTATTATAAAGATTAATATTATGAATTTTTGCAATGCTGCTTTGAAACAATGTGTATTGT